TTTTACCACGGGTGTGCTGTACCGAATTAAACTATGTAATGAAGACCTCGCAGTGATAGTAAACAGAGTTGATTCTGTTTTACACATATTGTTTGAATTACGAGGCTTTAAAATGCCCATATACTTAGGTTTTTAATAGCACGTTGTATGGCACTCTTGTGCGAATTTTGAGCTCTAAAACATAAAACGCGTTAAGTACAGAAACAAAACATAGACTGTCGACCTGTGGACCTTAGCTCACACACTGTAACAACCCAGAAGATCAACATCGACATTTTCATCGCAGTGATAATTTCAGATCACATAAAACATATATTCGTTAACGCAATACGAGATTCTAAGGGACATGAGAACAGACCGATATTTCTTGACTGTGGTTGCCAATCACTACTTTATAATTGCTTCAGAAACTTTCAGTAGCACAGTGTAATTTTAGATTTCTTGGTCAGAGATCCTTTTGTACTTATACGTTTTAATACTTCCTACCGTTAGGTATAATTTCGCAGATTTGTAGAGGAATTTCGTTGTAATTTCGCAGAACGTAAGCAAAATAAATATATATGGAAAGAACAATGAAAATTAGATTTGCTGTCAGTTTAAAAACTGTAGTTTCATGACAACTGATAAAATTCTCATGTACTTCACGGTCTTGAAACTATATTTGCTGTTGCAGTTTTAAAAAGCAGTTATATAACAAACCTGTTTTAATTACAAATAAATATCGTCTGGTTTTTACGATGTGACTACACTCATGAGTTGTCAGTCTACACACAGTATTACATAGGGAGAGCATGTAATTATGTTTACATTTTAAATTAAAATGCGATATGGATTTCTAGGCGTTGAGGTTGTGCTGGAAAGTACACGTTCGATTATTTGTAATGTGTGAATGTTACATAATTGCTATACGTAAGTATACACCGACAAAATGTTATTAATTATGGTTTGGTGTGAGTCCGTAGATGTTGGCTGGGTTCTCGGCTGCTGCCTCCATCATCAGGGTGATGTATTGTCCTGATGATAGAGGCAGCAAGGACCTCTGAAACGTTGGTAAACAAAAACCTTGAAGACTGCCATCTTCCAGTCTGCTCTCTTACTGCCACTGTCCCAAGGCCTAAAGCAGCAATACTCTGCTTGTAGCTTTGCAAATGGGTCACGTAAACATGACGTTGTAGCAACAGTGACAGACATTGATTGCTACAGTTACGAGTGGAAACAAACAAACAAACAAACAAACGAATGAATACAGAGGCTCAGAACACAGACAGTGGTACTTAAGGGCAATTTATGAATTTCCAAAATGTTGTTTATTTCTTATTTAATTCTTTGTATTTTATTTCTATTCTATCCCTCTATTATTAGTCTGTTCGTTTCTTGTATTTTATTCTGTTTATAACATTATGTACATGTTACCGTAAAAGCCCGAATGTTGGTGTAACTTAGGATTTACCAGACAAACCTAGGTTTTACCAAATAGTGTTGGTAAAAGGCTGAAAAAATGACTACTCGCGTCTTATTTCGGGATTCTATCATTCACTGTTGGTAAAACCCCATTTTCGTGGTTTTACAATTCACCGCTATTGCAACGGCTTAAGACGTGTCAAATGGCTGACAGTGATAAATTTTCGGTTACGTAAAAGCAGGAATATGTTGACCAGCTGAAGGTCTTTGTCCTGCACAGACTAAGAAATAACATTCCTACCACCTTCGCTGAGCATTGACACTTTAACGTCAATATATTTATTTAGGCGTAACGTGGCAAAGGTCAGATTTGCGTTGTTGTTGTGTTTTTTTTTTTGAACTTTCAAGTTAACTCAGCCTGGAAGTAGAAAGGAACGTGATTTTCCAGACGATTCTCTGCAGTCCTTGACATTGGTGGATTTATCGTACGAATCCTGTGTTGGCCATAACATATTTTCTTGCATTTTTCTTATACACGACATGTCTTGAGTTCGATATACTCCTATTTTGATTTTGATTACACTGGTAGAGTTCTTTTATTGCTTCTATTTAAAGATTAATCTCCACTCGTGACAAATTTTTATTTTAAGACTATTCGTCACTAATCTTAAAATAAAAAATGTTTTAGTAAATCTGTCCTTGTGTCGATAACCAACCACCAGAAAAAGTTAGCCAAAACGTCGTTTAGGCCGTATCAGATCCAAACGGAAATGACTTCTTGAATGCAGGCTGAATCTGGCGGTGGCCCTCAAAGGGTTATAGTAAGTACGGAATCTCTTTATCGACTGGTCTATCTTGCTAAAACGTCTGGTGTTTCTTCTTTTAAAACATTTGTTTACACTTTTGTTTGTGTGTATGAATACCAAGTGAAGACTTAAGTGCTTGTAAACTGAAAAGGAAACTACGGGTATTAAATCGTTTAATGATGTTCTTTAACTGGTGAAGTTATTTAGCTTCTGTGATTATGATTTTCGCTTTAGTCAAGACGGAGAATGTGATAGGATATAAACGAACGGGATCTAAGCACCTAACAAACTATTGCGGGCGTACAATTTTCGCTTTAAGTCCATAAGCCATTAGCTTTGTAACGATAACGCAGTTCGGGAGGCTGAAATCAACTAATAAACCATAGCAGTTAGTCAGTAATCATATATTAATTAATCCTAGGACTGTCTGTAAGGTTACTTTATACGTACTTAAACCTCTCTTCTACTCTGAATTAGTTAGGGGAAAGGATGTCCGCAAGGTTCTTAGTCTTTGAACTGTTATTGTCCCTGAAAGCAGTGTAATTCCAGAATTTGATAGCATAAATTTTAATTACGTAACGTCATTAATATAGCTAGATGCCTCCCGCGTGTAGTGTTTTAAGGTCTCGACTGTAATTCGCATGAAAGTTTAACGATGTTGTTCTTGAAGATGGTTGTCTTCCAGGATGTTACGCCGTCCACTCTGGTAGAAATTTAATGACGTTTCACAGGCTCTTACTGCGGAGGCCTTTGCACCGAGTGCCTCTGAAACGTCGGACAGTTTATAACAGACTGCACAGTGCAACACCCCAGAAAACAACTTCATAATCGTTTACTTGAGAACCTGAAATCTCGCTTTCTTATTTGTCACACATTAGACTCCCTGGAATAGACTGGGTATGGCAACACGACTCCGAGAACAGTTAGATCTGAGAAGGAGGAAGTACGAAGAGTTGGTTACAGAATGAGGATCTTTCCTCCAGATATCATGGTTGTCAAGGGTGATGAGAAATTAATATAAAATTTTAGTAGAGAAACATGGAAGGAAGATATCGCATGGGATACGTAGGCTTATATGGAGGATAATATTAAAATGTATCTGCATCTGCAGGAGCAGATCGTGCCTGGCGTTGTATTCATGACGTTGAGGAGGGAGGCAAGGAGTATCCTCAGTTCGCTCTATGCTCCGTACTTTGTTTCTTCTTTGAAACTAAATGTAGTTGTATATTAAATTCGTTGTTTGTCTGACAGCATTATACGCGTTCTCTGGTGCGCAAGACTTTTGCCCTTTATTCTAAGGGAATCCATTTATATAAATTATGAAAACTTCAATTGTTTTGTACGGTTTTGGAGCTACTTTTCTACGACGTCACACAGAGTTTCTTCAAACACACAGTCTATAATGAAAATGTTTCTCGTTTCCGGGATCCTTAAAATCACTTTTCATTTCCGATGTGCCATGATATGAACAGGGAGTGGAGTCCTTAATCCGCAAGAAGTAAATGCCAGGAAATATGACATATGTAACCTTCCAAGCATTGTCAGGGACTACAGGTTGGGGGTCGCGTATTCGAATGCCGGGCTGTTGGCTAGAAGTCAATACAAACCCGCAAGGTCCTACGACCAGTCAACTCGATCAAGACTTCTCAGGTCCGTCCATTCAACCTGAATGGACTGTTTAACCGCATAATTTCAGGAGCACGTTATGGTTATCTCAGTGGTATGCGTTGTTCGTATTTAGAAATGTCATAGTTCTAGCTTTCTGTACGCGCATGATTGAATCAAAGAACGGTTTATGGGCTCAGTGCGTTTGTGTGCCCATCCGTCTGTCAATTTGAACGGACATACGTGTATACAAACGGAATGTGTTTGTTCACGTTCTCACCCACTGGAATATGTACTCGACCATGAACATCGCGTTTCTCAACTGCGGAGCTGTTTTGTCGCAAAATGTTTTGAAATTTTTCGTGACAGAATGTGACACACTTGTATGTTCTTGGGCTAAATGGCTCGATTGTGACCGAACGTTAACTTGTTAAGCAGGATGCACCATATTGATAAATGTACCGAACGGAAACTGGTGAAACATATTTGACCGTGAAGCATATTTTTTTAGTTTCAGAAGACTTTTATTTTTAATTATCAAATATCAACTCCTGGTTAGGTCTGTATTCTAAGCATGCATCTTTTAACACTTGTTACATTTAGACCCAACACGTTAACATTTATGAACGATATTTGTTACAAAGGAGTCCATTTTTACACAATTTTCCGTTTGTAATGGAGATATATTTACCCCAAAGACAAAAATTTGGAAGGAGTACCAGCCCAAATTTACGTCAATTAAACACACAGCTGAAAGTGATGATAGATAAAACGATTTTCTGTATATCGTCGACGCCTCACGTTACAATAGTAACTGTAGCACTCCAAACGCTGATCATAGTAAATGTACCATAGTCAAAACCTTACAGGATAGTGGTATAATAAGCGAACCATTACCACAAAGTTAGGTTAGGTTTTAAGTTCTCACGGCGGTGAGTATGAAGATGGCTGTCTTCTGGGTTGTAGCGCCGTGTATGGTCTGGTAGAAGTTCACGGACGTCTCGGATGTACTTGCTGGTTCCAACATCAGGGCGATGATGGAAGCAGCAATCACCTCTGAAACGTCTGTAAACTTATACAATACCACACGGCGCATATTCTAGAAGACACCCATCTTCATTCTCACAAAACTTTGCACAATGACATTTCATAAACAGATTTTGAATCTCTGAAATTGCACGGGCATACCTGTGAGAATGATGGTCGGTATGTAGTACAGATGGAAGAAGTCGAGGACCCCCAGAAACGGGAAGCACTCGTCAGGAACTACGTCCCCCGTCGAAGCAGGGTCGTAGTTGGACGGCATGTCCGGCCACGAACTGTTCCACCACGAGACGTTATGTGCCCGCAGACGTCTGAGCAAGTACACGTCGTACTGGTGGCTCGAATTGTCCATGGACGGAACGTGAAGCCTGCTCAACTGGTGCAGAAGATCCCCCAAATTCATGATTCTAAACAGTGGCTCTACTTCGTGATCGTTGGACTTAGGCATTTCGTCGTATTACACGATTCACTGCTTCATTACGAATAATAACATGTGCAGAAAAGAGACGTAAGTTCGATGTGTTCTTCAAAGCCACTTCAACCACTTCTTGAGCGTTCGTTCTGATTTTTATTCTATGAATGACGTCGCAAACCTATTCTAAGAAGAATCAACGAACGAATCTACTATTTTTATATGTACTACGCAGTTTGTGTTATATAAGCATTTACGTATATATTTCCTGTGGAATAAAGCAAATATTTATCTTGCATAGAGTCACAATTTTATAAGTCATGTGTTCTTTCAAATCTAATAAATGTCTGTCAAACTTTACCAATCGCTTTTGTCCATACGATGTTCACCACTGCTCATTTAAACAACAGAAAGTGGTATTCACGCTCGAAGTCCGCAAGAGTCTGTTTAATAGCGGAACGTGCTCGTCGGGAAGAGCTTCTGGAAAACTTGCCGTAGCTTCGTTTCGTCACGAGCTTTGTTTTACACGTCGATCTAAGTACTTTTCTTATGCCAGAGGGCGACTTTTTTCGTACTGGGAGGAATCGTGTACGCATTGGCAGGCACACGAAATAATGGTTATTTAACGATGCTGTATCGACTGTACGCGTCATGTTAGCATAGAAGGAAGTGAGAGGATGACAATGAAGTTGATGGTGCGTAGATATTCTTCCTGAAAAAAAACTGGTATACTTTATTCAGAATAAGTACAGAGTGGAGGTGATATAATGTATCCATTAAGCCATAACGTACTTATTATTGGCGAACTTAAAGTTACTGGCTCAGTATAAACGTGAAAGCCTGTGGTGTATTTGGTCAATCATTTGACCGAACGACCCAGATTTACGGTTATAGATTCGCAGATGTCAGACGTAGTGGAACTGTAGTAGGTTGAAGTGAAACCATATTCTCAGTTATTGACACTAGTATGACTACATGAAACAACATCTTCAAAGTTCGTAAACACCGTATTGAAATAAATTACAAACTCGTGACTTAACTACCTTGTTTTCTAAGTCTGATTGGCCAGGTACGTTGTTAGTAATGTAGGCCTACGTATGTTAAAACCAATTACATCTTGCAGTTTGCTCGGCCCCTATAAACCTTACCTTCACAGGGCCACCAATTAGACCTCTCTATTTCCGAAGTAACATTAAAATTATTTTCTGAAAATACGCGCCTGGAGAAACTTTTTATGCCTATTGTACGTGCATGTGTGACTTTCCTTCGAAATAACTTTCTAATTAATAAACATATTATTATCAGACTTGGCAAGAATATCATTTCATTGGGAACCATCCTGCTTGTAGAGTTGTTAATTACCAACCATTGAGTATTCGCCATGGAAACCGCGCGAACGTCTAAAGTTGAAGCGACGTTAACGTCTTTAAGATTAGTACTCTCACAATTTGGTTGTTGATAGACCTTCGAATATATTTGGTAGTTATTAACTGAAATTCTTTACATAGTTTAATATGACTTGTCATAAAATATAGAATCTACATTATTAAACTTTCGTTTGTTGACGGTAACCAAGGAGATATTAGTATACGTAGACCCACATGAATTGTACTATGGCAGAAGATCTAAAACAGATGTACAGATATTTTAATTGAACACGTGGCTACTCTGCCATGATATCAAGTTGTGTGATAGCTTTCAGTTAAAGAGGGGGGGGGGAGTAGTAGCAATGCATATAATGCACAGAATGTTATTAATTTATGCTGCAATTATCAGTTCATGCGCCTTCATCCTGTTTGTGTGTGTGTTCATGTTAAAGAATGAGCAAATGGGCTCATATATTTTCCTAGAAATTATTCTAAAAAACAGTGACTCTTAAATAGGTTCGATGTCGAAATTGAATAATAGACACTAAGACTATGTTTAGAATTTTTTAAAATCAATATTTCGAAATTTTAAAAATTACGTTCCTTTCAGTTCCATGCGAAGAATTATTTGACCTGGATAAAATATTTTTTTCCCCGAAGAAAATATTATTATTTTGGACCGATATTCATTATTAAAGTGCATTTATGGATATCTGTGTACGAAATATGTTTATGTGTGCTACAAATTATTAGTATTTCAGCTTGCCGTGTTTTGCATTAGAGTAATTTACTTTGCCATGTTATCACTTTAGCTTTTGTTATGACAAGTTTTTATTTCTTGTGACTTGAATCATCGGATTTTGACGTTTTGGAGATTTCAGTAACGGAGAACTTTTGAATGTAGGCCTACTTCATACCTAGAACCGGGTTTAGAAGTACTCCTACGGGCTAGAGTTTTGTTCGCTTGTTTAGAAAAGCCAGGAAGATACACGGAGGTTTCAGATATTTGTTACTGGAAATCTGAGAATTTTACAGGACGTTTCATATAAAACGCAGAGCTAACTGCGTTGAGCTGATCTTTTCACACTTAAAAGGATTACTCACAGTAACGACCTAGGGTTCATTTTAGTCCTTTCTTCATAGAACATAGAACATAGACTGCAGCTTCATTCATGATTGACAATGCTTTATTTTCCTGTCGCATGTACAATGTTTTGCGTAAATTCCTACGATCTACGAATCTAAAGAAAATTGCAATGTGTAACGCATTTTGTGTAGGGTGAAAGTGAGGGAGTCGATATTTCGACTTTTGCTCGTGATCGTTTATTTCAAACAAATAGTGTGAGGGGTCCAGCACACCATAGCGGACCTTTGGCTTTGATAAAAGACGACACATCCCTTAATTAGTTAGTCAAATGCTGCCTTCTCAACAAGGACGCTGCTCAGTGGAGTTACTTATTAATACGAATTACTGTTTGTGGAACTATAAATTAATGTTTCAAAACCTTCCAGCCTCACTGGGTTAAGGTTACCTTGCCTGAATAATTTATAGTCTGCCTGTTTGAAGGAGTACGTACCAGCAATCAAAGGAGGCTGTCCGAAGCTGTTTGCTGGTCATTCGTTGGTTGTTCAAATAAAGATCTTCCTTGCCAAGGCACAAAACAGGGAATTCTGGAGAAAGCTGAATAATAGTAGGGAAAAAAATATAATGTGAAATATTCCAGGAAAGATGTTTATTGCTTCGGTACTAAATTTCATATCTCTGCTGGGGCTATGAAGTCTGTGACGGGTTTGAGAATGACAGTGAAAACGTGAATTTTCGGAATGACCTTGGCCTGTTTTATTGATTATTCTAGAGATTATATAAAACAAAGGTCTTTTGCCCCTTTTTAAAAACAATGCACTGGATTTTCTCTGTCTCTCAGTCTGTCTGTCTATCAAGACGTGTGTGAAATCGAAATATTCCACAGGGTGGCATCACTTCACCTGTTCTTTCAGTTTCAAATTAAACGAAGTTGGATTAAAGTGGCTGTTAATAATAAGAAAATGAATCCGGTTAAATATGATCTGCCAAAATAATTGTAGCTAATTATCGTTGATATCATATTACGTGTTTTATTTTAACACATTAAAAATATTTTTTTGAGTTAGTATCATTTTATCGACAATAATAATGTTCGTGTTGGAGAAAGTCGTTTTAGGTTATCTGTTTGTTTCATTTCCGAATGCTCTCCACAAATTCAATTTGGCATTGGAGGTTCACAGTAAATGTTATACTCTATTTGTCTTTGTGACCATCGCTTCCTTATAGGTTTTCGCATGAATATTAAAATGAATTTTACACTACACTACACTCATGTTTCCAGCGTTTTCTTGCCGAGTGACTCTTACACCTGGAGCCCTAAGCCAGTGGTCCCCAACGCGGTGCCCAGGGGCGCCAAGGCTTTTTTTTGGGTGCCTGCGTTGATACGGAAAGAGGTTATACTGAATAATGAAGGCCGTTCAACCATGAACATCATAAAATCAAAGCACGGATCTCGACTTACTGACGAT